AACCTTGCTGGATAATTTCTGTATGGTCTCCTGGATTTCCTTGGGCTAGGCCTGACACACACCCCCTGGCCCACACACTCTCACGCACCCTCCCTGACCCCTTGCCATCTTTCTTGACCCATGCCGTGCCTCTTGTGCACCCCCACACACTGTCCGTAACCCTCGCTGCACCTCTTGCGCACCTGCTCGCTCCCTCCCCCACCCGGCAGGAGCCACTTACCTGCCTGCTGGCCTTGGACTTGAAACTTCCTGCCAGCTTCGCCAATGATTTACTTGTGGGAAGCTGGCAGGGAGCATCAGCAATCATGATCAAGTTTAGACTTCCTGCTGGCTTCCTCACTGACTTGTGGAAAGCTGTCAGAGAATGCTGGAAATGACAATCACATGACCGTGACTGCGGCAGCGCAGTGGTGCTAAAGCAGCAGCAGCGCAGCAGGGCTGAAGCAGCCACAACTTTGCCAAATTTCAATCCCACAGGAGTAATGGGTCCCGGATTTTGGACGCATTCTGTAAGTTAGCCCATTTGAGATATCTTGGTTCAAAAATTGTCGCCCTATGATGCACCATTTTGCCCAATTGAAGGTTACAAACAGACATGAGTGTTTTAGTAGTATATAGATCCAGATCAATTTTTTTACAGCATCCAAAACAGAAAACCTGTTATCTTTTCTGCAAATAATCGTATCTACTCTAAGCTGATGACTAAAAATTCTCCTCCCCTCAAGCAAGCCATCTTATTTTAAAGCAAAACTAGCCCTTCAACTCTAATCCTAAATATACCTATTTTATTGTAACCATTTTTGCATGAACTTTGCATATTTAGAAGTTGTAGCTTAATTTTTCTATTGTCTCAAACTGTATTCTCAATAAATATTTACTCCCTCAATCTTACCTTGTGCCATGAGTCCATTACACTAATTTGGGGTTCTAGAAATTAAGCTGAAAAGTCATCAGTGATCTCACAAAAGATCACTTTTCACAGGAAAGTCCCCAAATTGTTTAGCAGCCACGTACAGTTTCAATTATTGCAAGACTCCTAGATTGTTTGATTTAGTCCAGGTTGAAACTTGCCTTTTGATTTTCATCATCAAGTATATGTCCCACAGACAATTTTATCAAATATGAATCACAGTCAGCTGCCTTCAGCAACCCCACTTCTCGTCCAAAATGCTTCAGACTCCTTTGCTCAATCAGATAGTAAAATTCTTCCCAGCAGTTGCTTTCAAATGTAGAAGTGTCTGTAAACTCTCAGAATAAAAGCCTTTCCTCATAAACAAAGAAAATCTCAACAAATACTTCCCCCAGCCTTCTTCCAGTGAAGCAGTATTCTTCAACCTTTGTTATAAAATATCTTTTTATTCTGATCATAAATTTTCTTCCTCAGATTCTTATTTAAATGTTTCCTCACCATTATTCTCCCATAATAGCTATTAGCATTATAAACAAACGAACAAACAAAAAATGCATCAGAATATATCCAACTCTTCTTCCAGTTTGATGCAAGCTTTTTTTTTTTTTTACATTAATGTTGTTTATACCATGGCTGTGATTCCTTTCAGGTGCTCAAGTATTCACTGTAAACATAAAAGGAAATGACTCACA